TCACCATTTACCTATGTACTGTATATATTGAAATGTTATTGTGAATAAACTTTAGTTGTTGTTCTCCTGTAATACTGCTTTATTGTATCTATTACTTGTTATCCGTCGTTGCGTGTCTTGCTTCCAAGCATGGCTACTCATAATCTAACAATGATATATATCTTTACAGGTTTGTGCAACATATCTGTAATTCTAACCCTAAACAAAAATGAAATTTTAAGACCAACAAAAAATGCACCAGATTCTAACCCTACTAAACCTACTTTGTAATTTAATTCTATAAATATTGTCTAACTGAAAGAACCCAAGATTTAAAATTCAATGGAATGTTTAGTAGAATAAAAAAATAAAAATTGTCTGTGTTTTATGTAGTGACAGTGGCTACATAAAATTCCTTATTTTCCTAAATTTTACACTGTTTAGAATGACCTCTAATTTTTTAACAAGTGAACAACAATGCAGGAATGAATTTATAAGAAACCTTAACTGCTGTAGGTAATAGTCCAGAAGCTCCAACCAACCTGCCTGCCTTATACCTATAATTATTTTTTTGTCACCTATATATATAAGCTTGTTACCCACGCAATTTCTGGTTTGCCAGTACCGTAAACTGATATGAAACTTAAGTAACTTTTATAGCCAAATTATACTATTTTATGCAAACTTTTGGGGGTATGTATGAGTATGTAATATTCTTATAACATCTGGTAAACTGTACAAATATCAATGTATTTGACACCAAAAGTTTTTTCTCAACATGTTTAAAAAAAATCATCATCAGTTAGGTATCAGTTGTGCAAAGGTCAAAGGTCAAGTGAAAAACAAATATTTATATAAATGATTATTCCAGAAATTATATGGTTAAACATAACCTAACCTCCAACAAAGTACATCATATTTTTTTTTTATCATTTTCTGGTTCAGCTGGACACCCTAAGTGACATTTACAAAATAGGACAAAATTGGAGCACCTGTATACATACAGTATTTAAAAAACACATTAATTTTGCCATTGACATCATGTTATAACCTAGCAACTACTAGTCCAAGAGAGTTGAATTTATAGTTAAGTTGTTCAGCCTACCTTTATTCAAAATGAACTTAATTTAAAATTTTGTCGAAAAATGACCAAAATTTAGGTTATTGACACATGATCACTCAAACGTGACATCATTGTATCTCCATAATTTCGTGACAAGTAGGTTACTCTGGTCCTGGTTCATACGGCCCGCTATGGACTGATGATTGCGTAGTCTGGCTGCACAAGACATGACATGATCATTAGTGGAGAAGCAAAGGTCACTAAGTGATAATTAATTTCTTGACTTGTATTTTTCAGGGAACAGTTTACTGCAAACAATTCAAAAGATAAAAAAAAATAAAACCGAAAAAATAAAACTCAAAAACAAAAGAAGAAGCCAAGAAAGTAAAGCCAAAATCCTCAGATATAACCTTTCAACTTGGATGGTTGCATTATGACACCAAAAGGAGAGAGTATATTCAAGTACGATCTATCAAAGGAAGTGGGTCCCCTACTCTCCGGCAGGGAAGGCAGTCTTCCAAAAAAGACATACTTTTGGTGGCAAAAGATACTTTTTTCCCCATGGCAACTCTAAACTAGGATTACTGAAAAACATGACCACACATTTGGCCGATTTCAGGGCGAAAGCAATAACCGATTAGGATTGGACCCTTGAAAGTGTAGCTGATGCAGGTGTTAAAATAAGGTTGTACCTATGTACCAAGTTAAAGGTAAGAAACATAGCTGTTAGTCCTGATGACATGAGGACGATCCCATCTACCATGTTGACCAATGCACATATGCTTTGACCAATACATTTATTTAATTTATTCTTATTTCATAAACAAAGTACATTTTAAATTTTAATTAAAAATGTCTGTACACACAAAAAAACTCCAACAGTATTCTCACAATTTATACTAGTTGCCGGTCTATAAACTTAAATAATGCACTTAATTAATGTATTTTTACAACTAAGAAGTCTTTGCCAATAAAATATAATAGACTTCCTTAGGTTTCCCATAAAGAATAATAAACCATAATTATGGCTTACAAACATGGCTGATGTACTATTGTGACATGGTAGTTTAAGATTTAAACACAATGCATTGTTGTAGCAAACATGCAATATGTTTATGGCAAATAAAAATATTATTAGCTTATCATTCCCTCCCTCCTTTTTTGAACATTTTGAGGAGTAAATTGGGATTTTTTTTCATAAAAAGCCGATTTGTGGCAATATCCAGAAACTACTCAGTCATTGGTTTTGTCATTGAATTTTTCAAATGTGTTCTAGCTTGTTTAACAAGTAAAAAGAAGTAAAAAAGTCTCCCATTAAAAAAGAAAAGATAATAAGTTAATGTTTTCTATCTGCCCTTAATGTTCACTTATTACAGCTAGACCATAATGCATCATAATACATATTTAAGCAGTAACACAATTAACTTGAATTTTACCAAATCAGAACATTGTATACTTATCAGAATACTGTATAATTAATGGTCAATATTGTTGCATAATATCTGAATTTTTCACTGATCATTATTTACAATGTGTCCCAAGATATTTAAATTCATTAGAAATTAAAGTTTATTATTACATAAAAATACTTTATGTAGGTTTACCAGTAATGCTGCTGCTCTTTATGAGAGAATAACATGCGCACAGATTTCGTTGGCAAATATTGACACCCCTACACCCCACCTCCCCGTAACACTCTGTAACACTTTGTCAAACCCCCTCTAAGTGTTATGTAACTCTAGAACCCCCTCCCCCTTCCGAACATCAACAATTTTAATAAAATCAGATGAACAACATTAAGTATCAGGATAAATGTCCTCCACTACAAATTTGTCCTACACTACAAATTTGTAGGATGTTTTGTAATTTTTTTATATGAAAATATTTATTTTTGAATATTTAATATTTCTTCTCTTCCCATTAAAATTAATTTTGTTATGTAACACTTAAAGCAACAACCCCACCCCTATGTCACACACTGTAACATTTTCCACTATACCCCCCACCCCCTCTGCGTTACATAATACTTGAATGACCCCCAAACCGTGCAACCCAAAGAGAGGGGAAGAGGGATAGAGGCGATGGGCAATATCACCTATCATCAGCATAACTAAGATTGTTGATCTTAACCTCAGATATACAGCCATATTTAGATAGGTTCAATTTAACAGTATTTAACTCAGAAAAGTTTAAAACGTTATATAACCTTAACAATGGATACCTCTTTTATCACTTCACAAAATATTCCAATTTAAACCCATTTTTTTTTTGTGCTATCCTTCAGAATTGTTGAAGAAATAATTTTTAATACATGAATATGCAACCGTGTTTAAGTAATTAATCATAAATATTTTTATTATTGCAAATAATACATTACAGGAGGTTGAAACCTATGAAATTAGTGATACCGACAGCAGCGACTTACCAGATCCTGGCTTATCTGGTAATTATTTTTTCTTGCTTTTAATGTCTGGTCTGTTATGTTTTTTTAAATGTATAAAAAGTGAATTCCCTGTAATTTGTACAGTTTAAAATATTTAATTTAAGGAAACTGTGTCTTTCTTTTGTGGTTTGCTCTTTACAGTATTTTGTATCTTCTTTTGATTTTATGCAATTATGCTGTTTCAAATTTTTTAAAGGTATTTGGCTGTCTCAGGCATGGAGTTTCAATTTAATTCAACTTTATACATCATCATCATCATTAACTCGACACAGTACAAACAAACAATACAATAAAATAATAAAATAACGGAAAACGAAATGATAATAGGACCTGAAAGAAACCCCAAGGTGCTTATAAATTTGAGGCTCTTACTATTCAAATGCATAGATATACATTTTACCTATAAAATTATTTATAAAAATAAAAACAATAGCACCTAATAAATAAATAAGTACAATATAATTGAAATAAATAAAAGATAACAATAAAAATTGGACAATTTAAAGTAAATTTGTCCAATGACCAGAAAATTATAATTTATGTATACAGTATTGCATACTCCTACAGTACAATGTACAGTACAAATAAGCCTTGCCGGGACAATCTATTGTAAGTTCCCAACAGGGGCAGAAATGCATACTGTAATAATGTTAAAACGTAAAAACAATAATGATGATAATAATAATATGTACAGTAAAATAAATTGGGAACTAATAATGATTTAAATATAAATATTGAAAAAAAATTATACTATAATAACCAAAAGTAAAGGATGCTTAGTCACAACTAAGTAATGACTCTTTTTAGTTATTCTTAAAAGTGGTATGTGACTTGAATGGTTTAAGAGATCCTGCAGGTCATTCCATATTTAGGGGGTAAGGGCAACACATATTGCATTCAGACTAGTAAATTTTAGTTTCCATGTCTGGAGTTTGGCTGAACATAATAGAATGATTTCGTTTCGAGCTTTTGTAGATACCTCAGCTCAAGATTTTTTTTAAATCAGGTAAAGCAACAGAATATGAAACATTATCATCAGACGAAACTGCTACCAGTATTTCATTCCTTCCTGGAGGAACCCCCACAGTATGTATATTATATTTATTGATCTTTGGAACTGAGTATCAAAAGCAGCCAAACTTATGTCTGTCCCAGGAATTTTTTTTTCTTTACTTTGTCAGAAATTTGCTTTCCCGAATTCTGAAAAGTATTAAGGTAATATAAATAATAAACTACTGCTCCATTCATTTAAAAATATGATGAAAGTGCAATTTATATATGCTGTATATAACACCAGAAACATGTTATCCATAAAGTGCAAATTCATTAGAAGTACACAAAAGTATGTATAATAATATGGTTCAAATTATGACTGGCATTGATCACTAAAATTATTATCATTAGAAGATTTATACGGTATCTTCAAAATAACTATTTATGTTCATATGTAGAAAAAATAAAGCACAGGTCACTGTCACTGACAACACAAATTATTGCTCCCAGAGAAATTGGTGTATAGATCTACGGAGTAACGTATAATGTAGCCTAATTAATAGTGCTACTGTAGTAGGCCTACTTAGAACTACAGACGCATAAATTTTATGTGTACATCTCAACTGAATTAAATGGGAAAAAAATACATTCTTATTGAAATTTTCAAAAAGGAGGGCTAGCATTTCATTTAATGATAATAGTAATAATTAATGAAATTAATAATAACAATAATAATAACAACAAAAACAACAACCAACATCAATAATTTTATAATGTTAATAATAATGATAAATAATGATTTATAATAAACATAAAACATCATACGTTTTAAAAGACACTCTTTTAAGGTCAAATGATAGTTGTTTATATTATGTCTTTTTAATTTAGTACCAGTACCAATTTATTATGCTATTTTCTTTCCATTCATACAGGTTCTTTTGAAGAAATTTCCTCAAGGAACATGTGAAATATGTTGTGATCGCCAAAAAACAGTTTGTTTGTGCCATGTGGCCATACTATTTGTCTGCCATGTAGCACGTACATTGAAGAAAGCCCAACCAAAGAATGCCCATTCTGCAATCAATTCATTAGTGCAGTGAACGGTTTTTACTAAAAGTACCTGTATTAGTCTATGCTGTTGAATGATTTTTTTTTGAGTTTTTAATGTTTTATTCAAATAACTTTTTTTTAAACCACATTTATAACTAAATTATCTGTTTAAGTCTTCATTATTTTGAACAAAAAAAATTAAAATTACACAGTGGCGCTTAGTTGTCTTGCAAGTCAGATTAAACTCTCTTCTGACTTTGTCCTGGACAAAATATGTGAACATCGCAAACAATTTAAGCTAAAATTATTTGTAATGTGCCTTTTTCTCTTTACAAACCATATAGTGCAAAATTATTGTGCTTTCCTATATTGCTTTTAGAATTATTGCAATCATTAAATGGTTATGAACAAAATAATGTTTATTTTCATGAACTAAAGCTAATTTTAAAAACAACTGTGCTTTCATGTCTACCTACAACTTTATTTACGATTTTAAATGATGGGTTTTAAAAAGTATGTGTAAATAATTTGACTACATAATAAACTAACAATAAAGACACCTCATAATATTTTATATATTTGAACAAGATTTATGAACAACAATTTTTATTGCATGACGATTTAACTGAGATTTATTGTTATCAAATATACCAAAAAACCTTTCCATTTGTATGTGAGACAATTTGATTTTGTTGCAGACATTATGGATTAAAAAAAAGGAAAAAATAAAATAAAACAAAGAATAAAACAGGTTTTTTTTTAAAATGTTAAAATTTTTATACGTATAAACATGTTATTAAATAGTTTACAAAACGTTTTAATTTCTCCTTTGAGTTGTGTTCATATTTTAAGTGAAAAAAGCCATTTAATATGAGCCAACAAATTTTGCAGTAGCTGAAAAAAAATATGTTTGTATTTATTAGTTAACTCAAGGAAAACATGTTATATTACCAAGAGAATGCCTTGAGTGTATTGCTGTTAAGTGAGATTGAGGAAGATTTATACTCTGGTGACATTAAAAATAATACAAGAGGAAATTGAACTAAAGTTTGAAAGTTTCAATTTTTTTTTATCAGATTAGCACTAACAATTGGATATTCAGTCAATCACAAAATCCTATTAGAAAATCCTAATTAGGTGTAAAACATAAAACAGTTATTGTGAGGAAATTAATACCGCCGGTAATGCAAGGTAACCGATATGTTTCTAGATTTTCTGTGGTGTAATATTTTCTTTGTGTTAAATCTTTGTGAATAATACAAAGTAATAACGGGTGTAGGTTGCTATATTTTAGGCCTATATCCGCATACGTTCACTTGTTACATTAAGATGAGATATAACGAAAATTACAATAAGATGCGTCCAGTCATCGCATATATCACCGAGTAACCATGTTACAAAATTAATGTTGACCGACGAACGAAATAAAAGAAAGTGAGAAATTGCATTTTTCCATCCAAATAGGATAAAAAGCCTTAATTAAATAAATTTAAAAATGCAATTCAACGTAATTGAATGAAATCTGATTTAAATCTGACATTTAAAAATCATGACCACTATAGGTAAGCAAAGTACTACCCGCCGTAGTCAAGCAGTTGGCAGTAGCAACGATGTAAATAAGTCAGCTATTCATAAGGAATATATAACAACAAACTGGTTTTTCCCAAAGATGATATTATATTTCTGTGTAGTCGAAAAAGCTAACGTATCAGACGAAGAAATGTGTTTGGCTTATTCCGTCCAAAGAATTCAATACAACTACGGTTTACTTAAGAGATCGCAGACTAGATTGATACTTACAAGTGGCCTGATTATTATAAGAGCGAATAACATTACGATTTTTTTAACCGAAAAAAACAAAAACAAAACAAAAAAACCCAAAAAATAATAAAAACAAAGACAAAAAAAAAAAGAAAAAACAACCCCCCCCCCCCAAAAAAAA